CTATTCAGATGTCTTGAATAGAACAGAAGTGCTGGAAATGGAAAAGGGAAGTGGCAGGAGGTGGACAGTGGAGAGAGATTTGTCACAATTGAAGGAGCATGGCAAGGGCTCTTTTGATGACCACGAGGTAATTCGGATTGTAGGGAAGAACCCTTTCTTGTGGCATGATCATTGGCCTGTGAAGGACTATGCAAGGATTTTTGAGTGCCTGTATTTGACAGAAGAGATTGCTAAGGAAGTAGACAGGGTTGTGTCTAGGATTAGAGCTGTTGGAAGAAAGATAACAGGCAACACTCAAGCAGTGGAAATGCAGAGCAATATCACCGATGATGGTCCTTCTTTTCAACCCCTTCCATATGTTGCTGTCCACATGAGGATAGAAATTGATTGGATGATTCACTGTAAAAATTTAGAGCGGCGATTGAACACGAATAAAATCTGCAGTGGCAAGAAAGAGATAGTGGAAAGAGTCAGGAACATTGCTGGTTTGAAGACTCCGGTTGTTGTTTATCTTGCTGTTGCCGATAAACTCCTCAACAATTCTTCCATACTTGAAGGTTGGGAAGATGGGTTTGTTCCTTTTGAGAAGAAAAAACTTGGTGTCGATGGAATTTACAAGAAGTATCCCTATTTAATTCAGTCTGCAATCGACTACGAAGTGTGTTTAAGAGCTGATACCTTTGTGGGAAACAGTTTCTCCACATTTTCAAGTCTTATAGTTCTTGAAAGAACACAGAAGATGATAAGAATGAATGGCACCAACTTGTGTGGGGAAAATGTAAGATGGCCTTCTTATGCTTACAACATACCAGGAACATCAAATGGTCCAAAGAGATGGGTTACAAACATGTCAGAATCAAGTCTTCAATCTATCAGCTATGGCACCAATCACATCTCTTGTTAACAGTGCCTTGTTTAATTAAGCATTCCTGCTTCACACTTTCAGAGTAGAAAGAGCCCCTTTTTGTTGGCTCAACATTTTCACTTGTGGGCATGAATGGCACACTCAAAGGGAAGGATTTTGATGTAGAGAATACACACTTAAGGTACAGTTCTCGTTGTTTAAATTGAACCCATTATTTTGAAACAAATTTCTCAGTTCTGGCAGGGTTTGGTCGTTAAAAAACGGAAGGGTAGGTTTTGGTTTCTGAATACGTTGTGTGTGTCTACAGTTAGGGAAGTGTTACTGTTGGTGGATAGGGTTCACGTGTGGGAGAGGTCTATAAGTGTATGCTCCGGACGTGTCTACTTTTGTTGTACATTTAAGAGAACACAGAGTCTGCTCTTTGGTTATTAAAGAAAAAAAACGTGGACCCTCATTTAGTTCTTTCGCAGGAAGTGAAAAATTCCATCTTTAGAAACGATTTTCTGCAAATGTAGTTGGTGAAAAAATGAAAAAACTCAGCCCGTAAAAGAATGAATTTGATTTCTCTTGGTAATGCAACCTGAGATTCTGACAAGTCCTCCAGACCCAATTCATACATTTCTTTTCCAAAAAGAATGAAATAATATTTTGCATTATTGTTTTCCAAATTCCTGTAGTTCATCTTTTTTCTCAAAGCCATGTTTGACTTCTGTATTCATGTCAGTAGAATAATTTATTTAAAAAGGCACAGGAAGTGCAGTCTTTTCCTGATCTTAGCCAAAAATTAATAACATAGGAGGCCATAACAGAGTTGGATGGTGACTTGCAGTTGAGGAATGAAGCTACTGTTTTAGGTGGTGCAGTGAATCTTTTATTTTAGATCTAAAAGTTGGTCTCATAATAATTATGTGAGATACCTAACCTTTCGGTTCAGAAGTTTTCTTCTGGTTGACACTTCCAGATAGTCCTTTGAAATACAAGTTAGAAGTTATTATAATCATGAGGAAACAAGAATTGAAAGGTAGATGAAGGATGACTTTCTTTTGCATTTTCATATTTTTAAACTTTTTAATGTATTTTACATTATTTCAAAAGTTTATAAGATTGAACTTAGGCAGATACATATATGGAAAACTGAAAAATATATACGTAAGTATTTACCAATATTAGCGTCCGATGTTCTTCCAAGGTCGGATAATTCTATAAGACTAAGAATACTTCATGCTTCTAATCCTCTCTTTTTCGGTCTTTTGGATGTTATTTTTTGTTTTCAGACAATGAAGTATTTATAAAGATACCTCCACTTTCAATTAGTCTTTGATTAAAATTTTGTTGTCAGAGTGATAAATTCAATTTAGAAAGATTTGTATTTTCTGCTTATCTATTTATGCTAACATGGTGTTGGTGATTATGGAAATCAAAGTGGGTGATGGTGTTCATATTCTATAATAACGCATGCTACCCTTTTCTTTGATGAAAAGACCAAAACTTGTTCTTTATCTATCATGGCCCTTTTTTCTTTTTCTTGGTCACCTAATCATGTTGAAACTAAGTACTTTGATATTATATGATGTCTGAGTTGGTATTTGGTAACATAACATAATCAGTGAATAATTTGTGCTTATTTTTTAAATTTTTATACTGACTTTTTCATATATTTGTTTATTTGATAACTGGGGTCATAGTTTGATTTAGTGTCTCTAAAAAAACTATTCACATAAGGTTTTTTATTTGGGGAGACTTCTAACAACAAATAGTTTTTATTTGTGGAGACTTCTAACAAATTATTGAGTTAATCGAAATGTGTTGCATTCGAAATTATTTTGAAAAACTGCGAAAAAATACAAAATAAATTATGATGTAGGAAATCAGATTTTGGATTTAGGAATTGTTAAAAAATATTATTCGACTTTCAAAAGAAATCTCAAAAATTATAAAAAAATAAGCTAAAAATTAATATATTAATTAGGAAAAATATGTTGGTTTTAAGATAAAATAATAGAGTTAGAACATTTTACTGGAGAGACAAAGATACGAAGGTTAAATTATGAAGATAAAAATATAATTTTAAAATAAATAAGTGAAAAATCTAAAATAAATTTGAAAAAACATAAATTTGCTTATTTTAAATTGAATATTTTTTCATTCTTTACTCAGACTGAAAAAGAAGAAGTTAGGTATGTCCTCGATTCATATTGTCACGCATACCTTGTAAACATGTATTTATATGTATTTTTTTTTTCTTGAAAATACAATTGTATAATATATTCATATTTTAAAATATTTAAATATAACGAGATCTTATTTATATTTTCCTTGGACCACAAAACTTTAAGACCATAAATCGAATAGTTTGAGAGACTCAATTAATGGATCAAAATATTGTTATTGTAATTATTACTTACACTTAATTAGTATTGATCAAGTGTACGAAAAATTCAATGTTAAAAAATTAAGTATTTTGTTTTATATGCTCTAATAATCTTATTATTTTATTTTGTTTCTTAGTTAAGGTTACACCTTGTTTGTTTTACTCTAGATTTTAAGACAACTTTTTAAAGTTTATTTATAAAGTTAAATAAACTCATTTGAACTTTTTATTAAGCTTAATTATTTAAAAGTCGAATACAAAGAGATTATAAGCAACTCGTTTAAGAACTAAATATATATATATTCTGAACTATATTATACGTTGGTATGATATTTGACGCCAAACTAATTCGTATATGGTGTCATTTTTTTAATTTCGAGCATTATTCCAATTAAAATGGCAATAAAAGTAAATTAAATAGAGTTGAATTAAATTGAATTTACAAAATATGTTTAATAAAAAAGAAAAATAAAATGATTGAAGTGAAATAGCAGTTTTGTACATGCAGTGGAATCCGCAAACATAGGAGAATGCAAGACCGTGTTTATGTCGTCTGTGATTAAGAGACCGTAACGCCAGACAAACATTTCACGTCGATAAAATTTATTTCAAATTTCGTTATTTTTTTTGTAATTTAGAAAATATGTTAAGTTTAGCCTTAATTAATGAACTATTTTTTCTTATTACATACGAGAGCAATACAAAATTATAAGAAAGTGTATTTTTACAAATTCTAGTGTAAAAAATTCTATTTATAATAGGACATAGGTTAAATTTTTTTAATGGAATATAAATCATATTTATTATTAACCATATAATGTTTTTAAATTATGTAAACAGTTTTCTGACATGAATCTGTTTTTCTATAGGAGTTAAACTACATAAAAGTCTCAAAGTTTAAGTAATAAATCAAATTTAATCTTTAATTATAAAAAATGTGGTTTAAGAGAGAACTAGATTTAGTTGAGATTCAAGTATTGGTGAATGGAAAAGAATGATAAGAATTAAATAAAAATAGCATTAATATAATTAATAAATATTCCAAATATAATAATCCAAAATAAATCGAAGTTGTAGAATAAGTCAAACTTAAATGATATATTAGTTACTAATAATACGCCGAAAACAAGGCATTGTTCTTTCTCTCTCACACGCACTCATAGGCTGTTTTTTATATTAATTATCATTATTTTGGATGGGTATGTCAAATTAATATTAATAAATAATAGTTAATATTAATCAATCCGAGTAAGAAGGGTTGTTAAGCCGATGATTTTGTCGTCTTTTAGATTATTAGGGTTTTTATTCTGTTGCAGACACTGGTTGAGAATCACTGCTCAAAAGAATAATAACATCAAATTCTAACCAGATAAGGAGTGTGGAATTTCGAAGCTTCATCTCTTTTACATGATACCCTTTTCCTTTCTCTCTCTTCTCTTATTCTCATTGTTTAGTTACCTACCGTTCAATCAAAGTCAATGGCTACTCTCGCTCCATTTTTTATTTGATTTCTTTTTGCTCTCACAGTCTTCCCAAAAGGGCTATTTTATTTGATGTGAAATTTTGTAATATGAGAAAAAGAAAGATCTTTTAGATCGATTTGTTGATGGGTCGGGCTGGGGTTTTGTTAATTGTTGCAATGGCAAATTGAAGTTCCGAGGGTGATTTGTTGGGGAAATGGGGGATCAGGGTGTTTTAGGTGTTAACGTTGGAAGAGAGGAGGAGGAAGATGAGTTTTGCAGTTGTTGTGGAGATGAAGACGAGGAAGCGTGGAAAGAGACTGAGGAGGCTGTGGTGGGAGGGTTGAAGGACGAGCTTGATGAATTTTCAGTAAAAATGTTCTTCAAGGGGTTGTCAATGGCTGGGGTTGAAAATCCAAGTTCTGGGTTTTCTGGAATTGGAGTTGTAATGGAAAGGTCACCAGGGCTTCCTGCTATAAGGGTGCAGAAAAAACTTGACTTTTATACGGAGGAGTCTGTGGTTGACTCTTTGGCACTCTTGGATGGTTTGCTGGAAGCTGTGCGGAAAAAGATCCGCAGGGTTTATGCTTTCACAGATTCCGAGTTGTTGCATGATCAGGTTAGCATTTCAGTGTTTGATTTCAATATTTGTTTATTTTATGATATGATTATGGCCTCTTCATAAATTGATGAAGATCTAGAAACCACGGGATGCCAAAATTGGAAATCACTTGTATGAAATATCTACATCTATTGGCATGCTATACCTCCGTGTTCTTGTTCCTTGCATGGATGAACACTGAGATAAGAATTATTTAGGCCTTGCGCTATTGTTGGGTTTGCACAAACATAGGATGGTGTTTCCATTTCTTAATTTTTATCTTCATACTGTGCCTGAGATGTCTGTTATTTACTTCTTATTATCTTTTTGTTTGTTTGGGTGTCCTTTTTGTTTTTGTTTCTTTAGCCTGTATACAAGAAATTTTAGAGGGACGCGTTTTAGCAGGCACACTGTGATTCAGTTTGAACAGCAANTTTCAGTGTTTGATTTCAATATTTGTTTATTTTATGATATGATTATGGCCTCTTCATAAATTGATGAAGATCTAGAAACCACGGGATGCCAAAATTGGAAATCACTTGTATGAAATATCTACATCTATTGGCATGCTATACCTCCGTGTTCTTGTTCCTTGCATGGATGAACACTGAGATAAGAATTATTTAGGCCTTGCGCTATTGTTGGGTTTGCACAAACATAGGATGGTGTTTCCATTTCTTAATTTTTATCTTCATACTGTGCCTGAGATGTCTGTTATTTACTTCTTATTATCTTTTTGTTTGTTTGGGTGTCCTTTTTGTTTTTGTTTCTTTAGCCTGTATAAAAGAAATTTTAGAGGGACGCGTTTTAGCAGGCACACTGTGATTCAGTTTGAACAGCAAATACCATGATTAAATTTGAGCTGCAATTACCTTTTTCTATAACAGCTGAAAAAGGTGACTTTAATATTTTTCATTTATGTTTAAGACCTTTTCATGCATGTTTAACATTTAAATATTTAGAATAACGTACATTCTAAATTTGTTTTAGAAACATTGATTGACATTATTTTGACTTGTGCGAGTAAACCTATTATGATTCTTTAATGTGTTTTTGTGGCTATTTCCAGGTCACCTGTCTTTAACTATCCTTCCGTTTGAATGTGAATATTTTGACAGATAACATTTGGGAAGAAAATGGACATGCCTCTTTTGATGGCATTGAGAGAAAGGATTCTGGAACTTGCCAATAATTTTGAAGATTTTGTTTTAAAGCTTATACCGTCTACTGATCTTGAGCAGCCACTGCATTTGGCCAAAGTAGCTATTGGGCTAGTCACTTTCCCCATAAGTGGAGAGAGATTGCTTAAGAACTGTTCTATTTGCTGTGATGACAAGCCAGTGCTAATTATGATTACCCTGAAATGTTCGCACACATTCTGTTCACATTGCTTGAGGGCCTATGCCGATGGTAAAGTACAATCATCTCAAGTTCCTATAAAATGCCCTCAACCAGGGTGCAAGTATTGCATCTCTGCAACTGAGTGCAGGTCTTTTCTTCCATTCACCTCATTTGAATCACTGGAGAAAGCTCTTTCCCAAGCCAATATTGACAATTCAGATAGAATTTATTGCCCATTTCCAAATTGTTCTGTTCTCCTTGATTCTCATGAATGTTTATCAGCTAGGACAAGTTCATCAAGTCAGTCTGACAATTCTTGTATCGAGTGTCCTGTTTGTAAGAGGTTCATCTGCGTGGACTGTAAGGTTCCTTGGCATTCTTCTATGAATTGTGTAGAATTCCAGAATCTGCCAGAGGACGAGAGGGATGCTTCTGACATATCCTTGCACCGTCTTGCTCAAAATAAGAGGTGGAAGCGTTGTCAACAATGTCGTACAGTGATTGAACTTACTCAAGGCTGTTACCACATGACATGCTGGTAAGATACAAAACTGTTGGTTATTTATATTGCAAACCTGAATTCTGCTTAGATGTATGCTGTCAAACTAGAATATTGAAAGTAGAGCAATATATTATAGAAATTTACATGTTAAGCAGTGAGAGAGGGATCTGCCTATTTAAAACAGTGTTGTATGCAAGTTCTGTTTCCTTGTTTGACTATGGTGTCTCATTTCATTTTTATGATTATGCATGAGGAAGTTCTGTGCACTAGAAAGGTAAAATGTAACTGTCTGTAATCTCTAGGCCTTAGTTAATTTTCAGATTGAGTGTTAGAACATTTGAAATCTGAATGTATTGTAACTTTGAACTAAATAAAGACTGACAATTATTAAGTGACAATTTTTAGGCTCAGGAGAGAGAGAGAGAGAGATTGGTTGATAGTGTGATCCTGCTAAATGATAGTAGGTCCGAGCTTAACGGAGATAAAGTAAATATAATTGTTTGGCCTGAACATATTTATATTAACTCCGTATGTGTGTCTGTGCAATTTTGTCACCTCAGTATTAGTTTCAGATTGTATTCAATTTAATACATGAGCTGATGCTGCAGAATTAAACTGATCTGGTTCTCTAGGTAACAATTAGATAATGGATGCTTGAATTGCGTATATGTGAGCATAGTTTAGAATGATGAATTTGTATTTCTTTTTTAATAAATAAAATCCAAATAGTTTTAAAACAATTGAAGCAAAAAAACTAAAACGCAGTTGTCCCTACAATATATAGTCTGTTAGATGATAAATGGCTAATTGGTTTGGTTGTGGCACATGGCAGGCAAGGATGTGAGTAGTTTGTTTTAAACTATTATATAAATACATAAATTAATCTTTTACTTAGGAGTGTCAAAGTGGACCGACCTAACTCACCTGGCTCGATTTAAAAATGAGTCAGCTCAACTCGGTTCACTTTTTGTGTACTAGAAATTTTTTAACCCGGTTCAACCCACCATTGGTTGATGGGTTGACACACTTAAAAGATATTTTTGTTTTTCCAATTTGTTTTATATATTATTAAAATACAATCAAAAGTCGATTGATTTGACACTTTTTTTATAACAGTAGAATCAAATTGTTAACCTATTTCACCAAACATTATTATAAAGATACTAGTTGAAAATTACAGTGTCAACATGCATAATTTGACAAAAAAATAAACTACACATCCAAATTATTTAAATACTATTGAGCAACATTTTAGACTTTAAAAATATCAAATTGTTAACCTACATAATTAGAAGTAGTAAGTAGTTATGATAAAAAGCTTATGAAAAAATGGTAAAAAAATAATACAAGATTGTTGTTGGTAGGTTACAGGTCAATTTACCTTCAACCTGACTCAAATTTGTTTAACTCACGGGTTAAGTGAGCCGGGTTCATTTTAATTCACATTTGAAAAAGTTGAATTTTTTTCATCCTAACCGAGCTCGAACTCATGGTGAGTCGGGTTGACTCATGGGTTTGAACCCAATCTCTACTTTTACTATTTGTTTCTTGGCATGTTTAATGTTCTTATGAAAATTATAAAATATGAAATGGCCAGCACAAGTAACACATTCCTACATGAATTTGGAATTGGGAAGGGATCAGCCCTGGTGGCAGATGTGGATCAGGTTTTAGGACTGGAAAGTAGTTTCGAAATCCAAAAAAGCTAGTGAAGGCTTTTTGGAAGCAAAGCTGAAATCTGCTAGAATTCGTAATAGGATTTGTTCCAAGACAATCTTTTATTTGGTTATCTTGATTTTGAAAGTTTTATTGGTGTTAGAGACTATTAACATGTGGGTTTGTGATGGGCTCTGCGTCAAAGTTGTAAGTTTTTCAGGCTTATTCAGCGGTAAGTCCTAAGAAAGGGGACATGCAGGCTGAGGACTCTAAGATGGATCATGGTTATATGATTAAGATTCCAAATTCAAATGCTGGTAGGATGGATGAAATTAAACCAATTGATTCTGAAGTATCTAGGTATCATAGGATGATTAGATATTGAAAACTATCAAAAGTTCGCATTTCTTAACATGTGGAATTAACAAGTAAGCAAGATGACATGAGCAAGATAACAACCATGTGTTTATGGAAAAATTAATCTGCAAGGTTTCAATTGAAAAATATAACAAATTTGAAGATTCAGTAAACACAAAAATTAATTGGGATTCAATTGAAAATACCCAAATTTGTAAGGAACTTAAAACTTAATTTAAGTTTAAAATAATTGGTTGCTTTTAAAATCCAAAATGAAATGAATCAGTTAAATTACATCAGTCCTTGACTATTGCAATGAACCTCTATCTTTGTTAAATGAAAACCTTGGAAAAACCAGTAGACTTTCTGGTCAAAAGGGGATCAAAATTGGACCTTCTCCTTGGCTTTTTGGAGGTTATATTTCTAGATCTCTCCTCCATTATGTAGCACATCACATTCAACAGTGGGCTGTCAATTAATCCCTTTCTGTTTGCTTCTAATTATTAACCTAATCCACGGTCTTTTCACATCCACTTCATTCAAAAGATGGCAGTTGGATAAGATGATCAAACCAAAAATTAGATGTTGGATATTCATTTGAAACTGGTGCAAATCAATGAAATAAACTACTAATATATCAATTGGGTCTTTCTGTAAGGATATACACTTTTTACCCAGATCAGTTCTAGACCAGGAAAAGAGCCTCACAGCTCAGTCATACATTAAACTATGCAAATCATCAATTGCTCCATTTTCCATGAAACATACCATATTGTTACTAGATTATTGATTCATCATCAAGTTCCATATTCGATAATAATAAGATTATTTTTTTCTTAGAACTAGTATCATTTTATCGGTTTATATTTCTTAAATTTTGACCCATTTTATTAGATTCTTTTTCTGTATAGATTGGTCTTTATTTCTTGTTTAAGTCGATTGATGTGTGTGTTTCTGGTTCCAACCTTGTTCTCGGATCTAAAATATGTTGTATGTTTAGGTTAATGATGATATGATTGATTGGTGAAATTTCATTACTATAACATGAAGTGTCAACCCGATTTATCAGCTCTGTTCCTAGAGGAATCAAAAAGAGAACGAAAAAGCCTCACTAGGAGGAATCTCACTATCACAAGTTTATCCAAGCTCTGTTATAGCTTTTAAGCTTTTCTAATAGTTTTATGTGCACTTATCTTCATTTCAGGTGTGGTCATGAGTTCTGCTATTCTTGTGGTGCGGAATACCGAGAAGGGCAACAAACATGCCAATGTGCATATTGGGATGAAAATAACTCAGAAAACTCAGTGGCACACTCTCTTCAAGAATCAGAACAATGGGCATGGGAGACATTCAACTCTCTCTCCATGATCGTGGATGCATACTCAGACCAGGAAAGATCACAGCTTGCGCTGATTCAGAGGTTTCTGGCCGGCGGTTTCAGTCTCAGTGACCACAATCCTTACCAGTCTCCTCCTCGCTGTACAGATTCCTATGTAGACCCCATGAAGGATCTACATCAACTTCCATGGCTAGAGAGATTTGTGTCTGTGATAAGTGACAACTACTATGAAGATTACATTCAATGAAAACTGTGATAGATCATAGACTTTTCTACCTAATAAGCTCATCAACTTTCAATCTCAACTAAAGTTTTGAGAGGTTGCAGAAGGGGAAACTTGGGAGTGAAAACATCTTTGCTTCTTTTTTTACTGGGAAGAATACAGTGTTAGTCAATTAACTTTTATTTTGCTCACACCCTTTTCCTTCTTATTGAAAAGAATGTTAAACAAACTACTTGGTTGGGTTTTATAGTTAAACAAACTTTTTTTAGTCTTCTCACACGATAGTTGTCTATTTTAGTTCTCATATATATTATTTTTAACCATTTTCAATCTCTGTATCTTTGACAAAGATGGAATGATATTAAAAAAGATATACATGAAGATTAAAAAGAATTCAAATGATAGGTATACAAATTAAAAGGGATAAATGTTGTATAAAAAACGTTGCTGACTACAACTTAGGACGAGTTATGTTTTAACAAACACAAAATGTCACCTATTTCACAATTAAAACTTGAAACACGCATGTGTTACACGAATTTAACATGTTCTTAAAACTTTCATTCACACCCACGATGTTTTTTACCAAATAAACTAGATGGAAAAAGGTCGGCAGCAATTTTCCTCGAATGCTAAAAAATTTGAATAGGACATGCACGTTTTTAGCCTATCCTACTTTTAAAGATTAAAGCTGGCACGTGATAAAATGGAGAAAGTTTACTTGGAATATGGTTGCATTGAAAATGTGTGCATAAAAGCTAGTCAGACTCTTGATGAAAACATCAATAATTAGAATTGAATCACAAAGAAAAACTCAATCCAAAAAAATTCTTTATTAGATAATAGTAAGGTGTTTTAGCTGTACTTTACTCAACTTGTTCACTTTTAAAGGTGAAACTCATGCCAGAATCGCCATTAAAATCGAAATATGCAAAGTAGATGCAGATAAAGTATAGCAGCTGGATTACACAACCCTTATGTTTTAACACA